GAGGGGGGTCCTAATTAATGCTTGTCCAACCCCTGCAATGTGCCAAACGCTCCATAAATGCTCTCACAGCGATACTCAACGTGCAGACACCTTGCAGATGGATTTGCTCAAACCATGCTGCCAGGCACCCCCCAGGTCTCCCAACCGGCACTGGCGGCACCACCGGCACAAGCTGGGGACCGATAGGCCTGTGGGGGACAGGGGCTGGGGGACAGGCAGAAGGAAGCGAAAGCTGCAGCACCGGAGGAAAGCACTTCTCCAGGGCTGGCACTTGCCGGGAGCTTTCCTGCCACCTCTTCCCCCCGGTGACCTCAGGGCAGAACAGGGACCCGCTGGTGCCAAGTGGGAGGGAAGGGCTGGACTGGCAGGGGGGAGGCCAAGCAGCCCCCAGGATGGCAGCAAGTCCCAAGGGTGCTCAATCCCCAGGGAGGCCAGCCTTGGCAGGGTTTTCCTGGCACACCACGACCTCCTCTCGGCACTGCTTTACCACCGGGGTCCGGGCAGAGAGGGCAGGAGGGCACCGTGCGAGCCACGCACAGCCTCGGCCGCGCCACCCTTTCAGCAATCATACTTTAGGCAGATTAACTGATTTATTAAATCTCTTTCAGGGATAAACCCAACCAGATGCAGGCAATTTATCTGCCTAAACACTAGTTTGCCGGCTAATACACCAGCGTAATGCAGAGTCCTTCCATATAAACTAATTTAAAAAGAAAAAAGAAAACCCTCTTGGTACATCCTATTCATCCTACTCTGATATAAGGGTCCTCAGTGCTTCCTCTGGGGCTTTTCCTTGCCTTCACGGCCCATGCCCACCGGCATGGGGATGGGCAGGACGCCCGGCTGTGCTCACACGAGGGGACCCATCTCAGGGTGCAGAGGCCAAGGGAGAGCATCCCCGGGGAAGGGCCATGGGCACGGAGCAGAGGCAGGAGATGGATGCCCCGGTGCCCCCTCCCTGGGGAGGCAGCACCCCACCAGAGGAGGAAACAGCTTTCGAAACATCCGTCTTCCCAGTTCTGCTCTGGCTCAGCCCCAGCGCGGGGCAGGAAGTGGCAGCACCAGCCCCCAAGCCCGGCAAAGGGGACAAGCAGCCCCCGGGGGGATTTTCCGTTACTCAATAAAAGCGACGCGGCCACAGGGCTGCGATCCATCCGAGCTGGAGAGAGGAGCATGGGTACTCACTAGGCAGCAGAGTCATTCAGCTGGTACTCTCGAGAGCGGTTAAAACACGCCTGGACCCCGTTGTCAGCCCACAACCTCCGGATAACATTGGCCAGGTCCTCCGGCATGATGCCCTGCTCCTCGGCAGTGCAGGACAGCGCGAACAGCTGCCGAGCATCGTCCTGCGGGGAAAAACCAGGGTTTGAGCTCCGGCACAGGGTTATCAAAGCTCACTCTGCCCCAAAGGATCTGACCAGAGCCCTCCGTGTCCCACCTGGAAAGTGGGACAGGAGCTCCAGCAGTGGATGGGAACGAGACCCAAGGGGAGCAGCAGGACCCCCACCTCTGCACCCATCGCGGGCCATGCCAGGGCATGCCACCCACAGGTTATGCTTTAGGTGCCCCCATCCTCAGCATGAGGGACAGAAGGTCCCAGACAGCCAGGAAGCAGCAGGGCTTGGGCAGGGCCACCCTTCATCCCAGTCCAGCTTTGGGGACATCTGCTTTTTCCCGCCAGGAACCCCCACCCCTGTCAGGCATAGCGTGGTAGGAGCAAGAGGGCACCCACCGCTCTGGAGGAGTCTCCAAAGTCGATCTGCAGGTTCCCCATCGCCTTGATGATGGCCATGATGGACTGAATGGTGTTGCTGTAGACCACGGCTTTGTACTGCCGGCACTCCTCCTCCGAGTAGCCATCCTCATGGATGATCCTGGGGGCAGGGGAGAGACAGGGGCAAGGTCAGCCCTTGGCAGGGCACCGTGGGGTGCTGCCCCCCACCCACGCTCTGTGGCAACACCGATAGGGAACATTCCGTGACTGCAACCGGTTTGGAGCCCGCGGCCAAGGTCTGCGCGGTGTTGGCCGCAGCGATGGTGTGGGGACCACTCACTTCATCTGTTTGACAATGGTGCTCTTCCCAGACTCGCCGGCACCTGCGGAGAAACGAGAAGGCGGGATGAGCAGTGAGGTGCTGACCAAAGCCAGGGACCCCCACCCTACTGGGACCCCCCTAGCCCAGGGACTGAGGGCAGCTTCATCAGAGAAGAGCTCCCAGTGTTGGCTGGGGCAGATGCTTGGATGGGCACTGGGAATGTCAGGGTCAAGAAAAGGGGAGGAAACGGGGAGCCTCGGGGGGACCTTGCAATAGATCCTGAGGGGAGAAATGACACTTGCTCTGGGCCAGGAAAATGGCATCAACACACTAACATTTGCCCAATGGTCCTGGCACACTGCAACCAAGATGACTGGCAGCCTCGGCTTCAGCGATGGGATCTAAGTCCTACCCATCACCCCACCATCCCAGCTCCAGGCAGAGCCTAAGCTTAGTGGCTGCATCCCGCATCCCTAGCGTGCTGGGGAACGATGGAGCATCAGTCCTGCCGCGTGCCCGTGGCTGGAGCCGGCAGCGGCCAGGACACATTGATGCTCATGTCACCAGGTACGGGCAGAGGGCCGGGCACCTGAAGCCAAGCACCCCAGGGAACTCGGGAAGGAGCTG